TTATAAATTTTTTTATATTATCTATACTAATATATAAAGAGAATACTCTTTTTAGTAACTACTTTGGTCTCCACTTTTTTTTGACCATTATACCCTTTTATTTAAAAAAAAGTTTAAAAATATTTTTTAATCAATTTAAAGAACTTGAAACTAATGAAATAATCATAATACTAATTAGATCAATATACTTTTATTATTTAATTTCTATTTTTATTTTATTTTTAATGGAGACATGAAGTGTCTCGACCCCACTAGTATAGATAAATAGGTTTGTTTATCAAGTCTAACAAACTTTTTTTTATAAGCTCAAGTCTAGTTTTTTTTTTTAAATAAATGAATTTTCTAAATTTGACCTTTTTATTAAATAGATCATGACAGACCAAACTTTAAAGAGATTAAGTCATAAATCTTTATTTAAAACTTGACCTATTTTTATCCTTACTTATATTTCAAAAATAATAAAATTATACTTAGGAGGAATAAATATGTCAAATCGCTCCGTGGCCTAACATACGGTCGTCCTATTACTTAATCTACATTACTCTTAAATTAAGAGGGGTGTATTGGTTTTTTTTAGGTTCGTTATCTAAACATTATTGTTTTTTTTTATTATTTTTGTCTTTGACTCTTTTTAAACTTGAATGTATGAATTTTTTTTTAAATCTTATCAAATGTCAAATCTCCACAAAATCCCACAGAATTCATTAAAATCCTGATTTAAAAGTCTTGCAGAATCCATTAAAATCCTGATTTTAAGTCTTGTACAATCCTGTAAAATCTTAAAAGTCATGAAAATCCTGCAAAGTCTTTTAAAATTCGCATAATTTTTTTTAACTAAAAAAGTCCTTTAAAATCATAATCCAATACACCCCCTAAGTCAAACATTTTTTTCTAAATCTTAGGGAAAAACTTTTATTAAATTCTATTTTAGTTCAAATGTTATTTAAAAATATTTAAAAAAAATTACATCAGGTCACTAAAAACGTGTATTAGATAAACATGCCGACCTATTTAAATAAAATAAAAAATATTATTATTATATTAAATTTGTTAAAATGTATTAGAACTATACATGTATTTTTAAGATGTTTTTTTAATCTTTTTATATATTAAACATATTGACTTATGTAAAATTAAATTTAATAATTTTATTTAAAGATAAATTTATATAATATTTATAAATTTTATTACAAAATATGTTTTAAATAAATGTTAAATTGTAATTTTAGTTTTTTTAATTTTGTCAATCTACAATTTTGGTATTTCGATTTTAAAATATATATATTTAGTCTCATTATTTTTAAAAATACAAAATTTTGGTCCTACTATCAATTTGATATTCATTGATCATTAAATTTTGACATTTTTTATAACTTGTTACTATTTAAGTGATGTGATATTTATTGACGTAATATATAAGAATAAAATTAAAAAAAGAAACATACAAAATATCCTTGCATATATTTATTTTAACTAGTGAATGATATTTATTTTATTAAAAAAATATTTACATATTCTTTTCATATTTTTTTTTATAAATGTCATTATTAAATTTCAATATGTAAATGTTAAAACTTAATAATTATCTTTTATAAATATGATTATATCATATAGACAAGTTATATTCAATTTTTTAGCTAGGATTTTCTTTTCTTTAAGTTATGGTTTGGGACAATTGTTATTTTAAGGTAGATTTCATTTTGTTAAAATGTAGTACTCTCTATGTTGAATATTTGGAATTAATTTTGATATTGTTTTCTATTTAGTTTTATTTATTCGCATAACATGGTATGCGGAGTAGAGGGTGTAACAATTCTCATACTAAGTATGATCATTGTGTTTCCAACCACAAGGAAAACAAGTAAGGGTAAGCTTATGAAAAGAAATCAACATACTACAACAACATTAAGTAACAACTTAGACAACAATATTCATTTCACCATACAAATTCACTTGTAACCAAATACCAAACATAAAACTTGCAACCTCATACAACACATAAAACCTTTACCATATCACATTTTCAACATCAACATCATTAATTAACTAATATGTCATTATACATATCAATTAAGAAGATCTCCAACAACATAAGTGAGTAGTTTAAGTCGTTAGACCCTACTGAACCACAGTGTTAGACTTATCGTATAGTCAAGTCAATTATAGACAACTTTAGGTCTCTTAGAGAACCTATTTAACAACTTAATTTGATTTCTTAGGTTCCATTACTTAAATTAGGAAGTCTAGTACTACTATTAGAGTAAAACAGTTTGGGTATGAACCTAACATGACATTAACTTGCAAAACTAAGTTTTTTATAGGATTAGTTCATCGATTACTCTCCAAATATTATGCTCTTTCCAGTTCTCAGTTAGGAAACTAAGTTCCTAATCTTGTACTTTACTCAACTGGTCAATTTATATACGTAAGTTTCGACCTTACCCATATACAAATAGCACATAAAACCTAGAGGAGACAATTTAAAAATAATTACCCATTTAGAAGCTAGCTTATTTACTAAAGGATTTCAACTTAGGCTCTCGGAGCACTGTTACTTATATCCGCACAATGAGATATTTTAATTTCTAAAACAACTTTTACTTTTCTCTAGTTTTTATGTATCTTGACAAAGACATGTATCTACACCACATGCCTACAAATATCAACTTACTCAATTATAACAACATATAAATTCACAACTTAATCTTCTAGTAATCTACATCTTAATGACATAAGCATCATCATATAATACATCAACTTGAAATAAAATGAACTATCATCATATCATCTTCATCATACAACTTAATCATCATCTTTTAGTTATAAAACAACTTAAGCAACACACAAAATCATACAAATCACGCTCGACGTCATCCACTAAATGCCTTGTGCCATTGAGTTAGGGGGCTTCTTATCTCGCCCACACCTGACGCCAAGCTACTTGTGCCCAACATGGTTGGGATAGAAAGTCTCTCATTCTCTTGCATTTGGCATGACAAAAGTCAATGCCCTACCCCAATAAGGTAGAAGGCCTCTACATGACTCACATTTGGCATGGATCCATGCAAAGATAATTCTCTCTCCTCATACTTGATGTCATTCAAACCACACCCAATGATATTCCAACCCAAGACGATTTTCTCTCCTCACGCCTAACACCATCAATCTTATGCCCAACATGAGCAATTTAGAACTCACTAGTTGAAGTCGCGCTTGTGTGATACCCAATTTTTCACTTAGTAGAAGCCCTAGATGCCTAATTCCACCAGAAACTCAACAACCCAACAACATGCAATAATATGGGCATAATAAATAACTCAAAAACTCCTTACTGCACAACATGCAACCATTACCAATCAAGTAACAACAAATTTCCTTCAAAACTCAACCAAAACCACGACTCAACAACATCATCCTCTCCTTTCAAATTTCAATTAAAAATAATAATCAAGAGAAGAATTCAACAAAGAACATTAAATACAAGTAAGAATCAACGAATCACAAGCTTCCCTTACTTCTACCTGTTCCAAGGAGTATAGAAAAGGAAAAAGAAGAAAGTCCCCGCACGGTTCCAGCTTGAGATCTTCAACTCTTCAACTTCGAATTTCCTAGTTCAATCAAGTAGATTCAACTATAGGCAGATAGAAAAGGAAGGATTTTCAGTCTAAGAGAGGGAGAAGGAGATTTGATTCACAGAATTTATCTCTAACTTCCCTTAAGAATTTCTTAAAATATGAACTTATGAGGTTCACATTTATAAAAAAAAACTTTTATATCCTTCCTAAGTTGAATCAATTTAATCTTAACTCAACTACTTCAAAGACAATTTAACTTTAGAAGTCCTTTGATTATAAAGTTCTTAAACAACAACATTAATAACAACTCACAACTAAACATATACAATTAAATCATACACCTTAAAATTAATAGTATTACAAAGAATACCCTTAAATAAATCTATAGTCTAAGTCATTTAGATCTTTAAAAAAAAAACTTTTTTAATAAATAAATAAGTTAAACTCAAATCATATATTTTCAATCAAACAAAATCTAATTTATCCTCATCTCTATTTACTATAATACTATGAAAAATGCGATGCTTGTGCTTATGTTTATTATAACATAATTCCAAAATAAAAAGTAGGCATTATTTCACTCACTAAAATCCTATCATATTAATATATTAATATTCTCGTTGATACGTGTTTGAGGTAGCTTACCTTGTATGATATAATAAAATACAATCGCAAGCAATGGAATGAATGTAAGAAACTCACGAGAAAACACGTGAATATTACATTTTAAATCATTGGGAAAATATCGGTTGACCAACGTGATGAAAGCAAAAGAAGAATAAAACTGCAAGTGATACACAAGGAATATGTGCATCAATTTACGTTATTTCAATTAGCCAAAAAACGCATTCTTTCTTTCCTATTAAAAAGAAAAAAAAAGTAGTTATTTAAGAGAGTGTCACTTTCGTTTAAAAAGAGTTAAAAAATGATAATGGAAGAGTAATTATTTAAAAGGTATAAGTAGTTTATAATTTATGAAAGAGTGGTTTAAATATGAAATTAAAATTAGAATATGTAAGTAAAAAATATCTATCATCAATTTAATGAATGATTTCATGTTGGATTTTCTAACATATAAACAAAATTTTATTTATATTTTTTAATCATAATTTATTCATCATTAAAACATGATTAATCTCCATTAAAAATTTCAAGTAAATATAAAATAATATTTTTTCTATACTATATATATATATAAAGCAAACTATATATAATAATCTTAAGCTCAAGTTGAGTTGTCTTATTAGTTAAAAATAAAAATATGTTCGTGTTAAAAAAGGATGGGACCACACAAAACGAAAGCAAAGACAAGACAAGGTACAACAATTGAATTTTCCGAATCAAGAGCTTATCTTAACACGTGTCAAAATCACATCCCCAATCAAACGAGTGTTGGAAGGTCTCAATTCACATTTCTCAGAAAATTCGATAGTAATAAAACGACCCTTCTGCAAATTAGCCACCTGCAAATGAAAAGTTCCAAACTTTCCGCACCAATCCTTGGTTAAATTCCACCCAGTTTTCTTTCACTGTAAGCACCCATCATCACTCCTCATTTCCCCCCCCTTCTCTCCTAAGGGGGGTGTCACTTTCTCTCTCATTAATTGGGGTGTCACAGTTTTCAATCCTTTTCTTTATTTCTTGTTATCTATGTTAGTTTTGTATTGTATGCTGGTTGGTGTCCCAATTCAATATCAGATTTCGGGGTTCTTAGGGCCTTGACATGGCTGCCAGAAAGGCCTGTGAGACATTCTCAAAATCATTGATTGAGGAAGTGAATAGATGGGGTTGCTTGAAGCAAACCGGTGTGAGTTTGAGGTACATGATGGAATTTGGGTCCAAACCTACTGATAAGAATTTGCTGATTTCTGCTCAGTTTCTTCACAAGGAGCTTGCCATTAGAATTGCCAGAAGGGCTATTGAGCTTGAGAATCTTCCCTATGGTTTGTCTCAAAAACCTGCTGTTTTAAAGGTACACTTTTTATGTTAATGTGCAGAATTGTGGGGTGTTGTTAATTTTGTGTTGTCCTTTTGTTCCCATCCATGGTGTGTTTTCTTTGTTTTGCAAGATAATTATGATCTTTTGATCTTATCTGTTTATGGGGAATAGAGCTTTTGTGGATGTGTGGTATCCTAGTCTTGTTTGTTTGTTTTTCTTTCTGCAGGAATCTTGAGCATTAATTGAGGTTTAAGAATTTGACTAACTTCTAAAGGCTAATCTTTAAAAAAAATATAGTTTGTGTACAGCATTAGGAAAAGGTAGGTTCCTGTCTGAGGCAGATGTCTAGTTGTCATATTTGTGGATAATCAAACCATCATCGCAGTAGGCTTGGCATATAAGCACGTGAAGTTCTATTTATTTATTTATTTATTTTTTGTTTAATTGAAAATTCTGTAAACAAGAGACTTAACCAATTTGGAGGTTAGGAGTGTTTTATACCTTTGGCACACCCCTTCGTATAAAAGGAACATCTAACAAACGTTGTACTGAATTATATTTAGAAGAATGAGAATGGAACATCTAACATCTAACAGACTATTCAGAGATTCAAATATTTTGTTATGAACCAACTAAATGAAAAATTTAAGGTTTTAGGCTGATTGGTTCTTGATTTGTGCTTTAAAATCTGATATTGAACATTTTATTCTCCAATTAGCTACAAATGGTTATGGTTTAGTCACTATATTAAGGCAGCATTAGTTCTCATTCTTCTGTGCATGTTTTTATTTCTTTTACAGTAGCAGTCTTCCAATTTAACTATCAAAATGGAAGACATTGTTGATATTAAATTCGATGATTGCTGAAAGTGGCTGTTATCATAATTCCTTGGGCTTGAGTTTCTGTTTTAACCATGATAATGTTAGCTTATGATGCTATTGGAGTGTGTGGGTTTAACGCCTGCTTTACGGTAATTTTTGCAACATTATAGAGAAGAAACATTAATGATCTTTTGTTCTACATTTTTATGATTTTAGGTTAGGGATTGGTATGTGGATTCTTTCCGTGATATCAGAGCCTTCCCTGACATCAAGAATATGATCGATGAAAGAGAGTTCACTGAAATGATCAAGGCCATCAAAGTGAGACACAACAATGTGGTACCCACGATGGCTTTGGGTGTTCAGCAATTGAAGAAAGGTTTGGATCCAAAGATAGTTAATGAAGATCTTGTTGAGATTCATCAGTTCCTCGACCGCTTTTACATGTCAAGAATTGGAATCCGAATGCTCATTGGTTAGTTCAGAAAACACTGACTGCTGAACAAGGCTAAGCAGTTTTTCACTACTATTTTTTCTATTTAAATCTTTGTAGTGAAGTTCATTTTTGTGGGATTTAGGGCAGCATGTTGAGTTGCACAATCCCAATCCTCCTCCCCATGTTGTGGGTTACATACATACAAAAATGTCTCCTTTGGAGGTGGCCAGGAATTCCAGTTAGGATGCACTTGCTATATGTTTCCGTTAATATTTAATTTCCGCTTATTTACAGTTCCGATCTAGGAATGCCAGTGAGGATGCACGTGCTATATGTTGCCGTGAATATGGAAGTGCCCCTGATGTACATATTTATGGAGATCCTGATTTTACTTTTCCGTGAGTTATATAATTCTTAATTCCATGAATTCACTTGCCTGTGTTCTGTTGTCATTCATTTTCATAACCATTACACCCTTATTATGTCTGGCTCCTGTCTTCTTTTTTTAAAAGAGCTTCCATCTAATTTCTCATGCCAGGAATAAGTATCTCATAAGAATTTACAACTATAGTTAAGAAATTGTTTTGTTCTTTTTCTATATATAATTACTGTATATTCCTGCATCAGGTATGTTCCAGCTCACTTGCATCTTATGGTATTTGAGTTGGTTAAGAACTCGCTGCGTGCTGTCCAAGAGCGTTTTATGGATTCTGATAAAGTTTCACCTCCCATTAGAATAATAGTTGCTGATGGGATAGAGGATGTTACCATAAAGGTACTTATTTCAATTTTTTAGTGCAATTGTTGATTTTTGAGTTAACTTGGAATTTTTTACTTGGTATTGTTGAGATGCTTTGTTAAAGCAGTTGGTTGAAATGGCATTGCAGGTCTCAGATGAAGGAGGTGGAATACCAAGAAGTGGTCTGCCAAAGATTTTTACATATCTATATAGTACAGCCAGAAACCCTTTGGATGAGCATTCGGATCTTGGAATAGCTGATAGTGTGACAATGGCTGGATATGGATATGGACTTCCTATTAGTCGCCTATATGCTCGGTATTTTGGAGGTGATCTTCAAATAATCTCCATGGAAGGATATGGTGAGTAGGCTATTACATATATTCCTCTTCTTTTGCAATATTCTTCTAATAGATAACCTTTCAATTTTTGTAATCCTACTACTTTAGCACTTAAGAGTTACCCACTTTCTGTATCTTTATGAAAGGATATGGTATTGGTGAGTAGGCTATTACATATTTTCCTCCTCTTTTACAATACTCTTCTAATAGATATCTTTCCAATTTTTGTAATTCTACTACTTTAGCATTTAAGAGTTACCAACTTTCTGTATCTCTATGGAAGGATATGGTGAGTAGGCTATTACATATTTTTCTCTTCTTTTACAATATTCTTCCAATAGATATCCTTCCAAATTTCGTAATTCTACCACTTTAGCACTAAAGAGTTACCAACTTTTTGTATCTCTTCTCCATTTAGCATTTGGAGGTGTTTTATGTGGCCTAATTGAGCTTGATGTGATGAAACTGTCAATCTTCTACTTAACTTTTTTATGTCCTTGAGAACGGTTTGAACTTCTACAAAATAATTAATGCTTTCATTGAAGTATCAAGTAAAATATTAGTATTTTCTCCCATTTGCAAGTTATTAAATATTAGAACTTTTTAAGGTTCTACTTTACCCCTAAATTTAAGAGCTTGTACATCTTAATAGATATATTATATTACTTTATTTTTATAGTGCTGCTTTGTTGTTATCTTTCTCTAAACTACTCTTTACAATTTACTTTTGCTTGGTTCAAAATCAGCAATCAAGTTTTCTTATGCAGTCATGGGTTGTTTATTCACAGGGACTGATGCATATCTCCATTTGTCTCGTTTGGGAGATTCACAAGAACCTTTGCCTTGAAAGCACCTTTCAGCCAGAGTTACCCTTAGTAACTCAAAGTAATATTGTGCCAAGGAAAAACACCATTGTTATTGCTAAAAAGGACTATTTGGTTTCAATTATTTGACATTCTAATAATTTGACAGATTTCTTGTAAGTATGTCCTTCATAAGATTGTGCAATGGTGATTGGTGTTGACCCCTTCTTTGCCTTCAGATCCAGCTTTGGGAATTTGTCCTTTTTCTTTTATAAAAGAAAATGAATATTCCCTTTTATCCCAAAGAATTGATGCATATGGAAGTAGGTTAAAAAGGTGGAGATATTTTCTAAGATTCCACATGATTTTAAAATTAATCAGGTCTTGCTACTGTCTCATAGCATGTGTCTCTTATTGAGTGGGGGTCCATTTTTGCGTGGTTCCAGCAGCAATAAAAATAAATTAGAAAATGATGACTTTGGTCCATGAATTTAAAAGGCATAGTCAGATTAATTTATGAAATTAAGAAAGTGACAAATAAGTCTCCTCCGTAAGTAAAAATTGTCAATTACAAGTAAAAAAAAATGTAACTAAAGTGATAATAATGTATGTTTAGGGACCAAAATAATGAAAAAGTAAAGTAGTTGAATTTAAATTTTTATTTATTTTGGGAGTTACTTGATATTTTTAAAATTTTAAAGGTTAATATGAGAATGTTTCCGACATTCAAGGATCAAAGATAGTCTTAATAATGTGTTACAATAACATGCCTTCTTTCACTTGCAATTTAGGCAAACATGGTCACCATTCCAACATGATAAAGTAGAATTATTTATTACTATGAAAGCATTTGATAACAAGGAACACTATAGAAAGTACTTTTGCAATTGCAAGTGGGAAAATCGCACTTCTTGTACATTTTTGCAAAAGTTAACTCATAAAAATCCTCTTTTCAGTTTCATTTTCGCGAGGGAAGATAATGGACACAAAATACCCGATAAAATTGAAGTGTACACAATAACAAAAATAGAGTAAGGTTTTCTTACATAAATTTCTTTATAAGTATTTATAAGAAAAGAAAATGAGAAAGAGAAAAAGTAAAATGACTTTAGTGTCTTTTACTGGTTAAAACTAAGTTAAGCACTTAACTTTTATATAAAAATTCTTTTTTTTTTTTAAAAGCGGAAATACATAAGTTGTTTTTAACTAAGGAGAAAAGTTTAATTTTATTATATCCGTTTTTTTTTTCTCTCATATAAGTGTAAAGAAACTTATATGAACAAAATATAAACCAAGTATATTACTACATGTACTAGGAGGCACCTTTTCGGCCAAACAATAAGTCGATAGGGGTGCCCGAACCGATAAAGACGCTGTCCACAGGTAGGTACCCCTTCGGTCAGATAGTAGGCCGAAAGGGGCACCCGAACCGATGTAACACACTACTACACCCCCTCGGCCTTAGGATAGGCCGAACACCCCCTTGGCCTTAGGATAGGCCGAACACCTCCTCGGCCTTAGGGTAGGCCGAACACCCTCTCGGCCTTGTACCTGGCCGAGGACTTCAACAAAGACCAGCTCACGAAGTGCATGGGGCAAAACCCTCGACATTGACTTAAACCGAACACCTCCTCGGCCTTAGGGTGGGCCGAACACCCTTTCGGCTTTATACCTGACCGAGGACTTCAACAAGGACCAGCTCGAACAACACGTGACAAAATTAGACACTTATTATACAGTAATTACCATGTCTGATTAAGAAGAGATTAAGGTTAATTCAAGTGTTACCCATCTCCCAAGACTGAAGGCCCACCAGGCCCAATTGTGTCTCTATAAATACACAGGTGATGTGACATAAATGAGGTACGTTACTATTCAACATAAAGACATTTATTGCTCTATACCGAATACTTACTTGATCGTTGGAGTGCCTTTGCAGGTACCCTCCCCACCCTTTGAAGACAGTGTTCGGTCGGGACTAAAGACTTAGAAGATCAAGAAGGAAGAACGATGAGAGGAGTGTTCCCATGCAGGAACATTTTGGCGCCCACCATGGGGCCGAAACCAAAACGGTTCTCGACCCTGAAGCAAGATGGTAACTACTAGAAGTCAACAGGAGAACGTAACCGAATACCCTTTCGGGATGCCCCGGGACACCATTGGACGGCGAAACCAAAACGGTTCTCGACTCTGAAACAAGATGGTAACTACTAGAAGTCAACAGGAGAACGTAACCGAATACCCTTTCGGGATGCCCCGAGACACCATCGGACGGCAAACTAATCAGAACGAGGATGGGATGGAAGAATCGTATGTAGACCGGTCTCAACAACCTAATCCGTCATCGGCCATCGAGCAACTGAAGGCCGAAATGATGGAACTCAGAAGGCTCAGAGAAAAGGACGCCCATGAACTATCGGTCCTGAGAAGAGAGAACGCCGAGCTCAGGAGCGATAATCGGACGTGGCACCCGTCGCACAGTACACACAATCACTCAACCCGAGATCAAGGTGAGTCCTCGGGATGGTACAAGGAGACTAAGGTCCCTCAGCCATCGGGCGGACCAACGACAACGCAAGATCAACAACGCCGACAGGGAAGAATGCCCTTTACTCCAGACATCATGGGAGCTAGATTACCGGACAACTGGAAGAATTTAGCTCTAGAAAGGTATGAAGGAACCAGCGACCCAGAAGAACATCTAGACGCGTTCGTCACACAGGTCAGCCTGTACACGGACGACGATGCTGTCATGTGCAAAGTTTTCCCCACTTCACTAAAAGGACCGGCGTTAAACTGGTTCACAAGACTCCCACCTGGATCGATTGATTCCTTCACAACTCTATCATCCCGGTTCGCGATACAATTCGCTACAAGCCGTCCGCACCAACTCACCTCGATCGCGTTGGTCAACATTCGCCAAGAGAAGAAAGAACCTCTTAGAACTTTCATGGAGAGGTTTGGAAAAATGACACTATCTATTCGCGATTTGGACCCAGCCGTTGCCATGCATCACTTAACCACGACATTACGACCTGGCCCATTCGTCAATAGCTTGTGCAAAAAACCACCCCGAGACCTTGACGACCTGAGACAAAGAGCCACGAAATACATGCAGATGGAGGAATTGGCTGAATTTAGAAGTCAAAACCGACCCGACTTGTTTCTCGCCAAAAAAGAAAGTGATAAGGAGCTCCCTTGACCTCGTCCCCGAGACACCACCGATCGAGAGAAGAATAACAGAGGTCCGAGGTACATGCAATACACGCCGCTTAACACTAGTAGGGCCAAGGTGTTGGAGCAGGCGTTAGCCACGGAAGTACTAGCTGTTCCTCGAAGAGCTATGACCCCGCCTCACGCCGACACATCCAAGACGTGTCAATTCCACCGGAATATAGGACACACTACTGAAGAGTGCTCTGCCCTTCGGGTTCGTATTGAGGATCTCGTTAAAGCCGGACATCTCCAAAATTTTGTTCGAGGAGATAACAGGAGAAACAATTATCGTACTGGCAGGGAGGAGGGCCGAAGGGAGAATCGAGAGCGAGCACCCCACAGGAACCGATCCCGTGAACGCAGCAGGTCTCAAGAAAGAAGTAGTCAACAGCGAGACCGAAACCAACCCAGGCGAGTGATAAACACCATTGCGGGAGGCTTCGCAGGAGGAGGGAGTTCTTCGTCGGCCCGAAAAAGACACCTAAGGGCGATCAAATCGGTTAACTCCATAGGACGGCCAGCTGCAATTCGTATGCCCCCTATCACATTCACCGATCAAGATTTTCAAGGCGTCGATCCAGTGCGAGATGACCCCATGGGCGTCAGTGTGGAAATTAACAACTGTATTGTAAGAAAAACTCTTGTCGATCAGGGATGCTCGGTTGACATCTTATACTGGAAGACTTTCGAGCAGCTCGGCATCCCTGAACAGGAATTGACACCTTACGATGAACCTTTGGTGGGATTCTCAGGTGAACGTGTGGACACAAGGGGAACAATAGATCTGTACACCTATTTCGGAGACGACCAACAGGGTCGAAGGATAAAAATACGGTACGTTGTGGTGAGTGCTAACACGTCGTATAATATCCTCTTAGGTCGACCCTCCCTGAACAGGCTGAGAGCCATCGTCTCTACCCCCCACTTGGCAATGAAATTTCCGTCTGAAGAAGGCAAGATCATTACATTGCATGCCGATCAAAAGACAGCCCGCGAATGTTACCTGGCCAGTCTGAAGGTACAACCGACTCCGAAGACGACCAGACGCCGAGACGTCAACGTCATTAGAGATGTTGGTCAATACAAGATGGGGGGCTTAGAACTTGATCCCAGAATAGAGGACGAACATAGGGTCGAGCCGACGGAAACAACAATCTCGTTCCAGCTCGGGAAAACGGAGGATCAAGTCACATACCTAAGTTCCCAATTGACAGATGATGAAGCGGGGGACATTAAGCGAGTCTTACTGAGGTATTCAGATTTGTTCGTCTGGACAGCAGCCGATATGCCAGGCATCGACCCTAGCTTCCACTGCCACCGACTCTCGGTTTGCCGAGATGCCAAGCCAATCGCGCAGAAAAAGAGGAAAATGGGGGGAGAAAGATCCCAAGCAGTAAAAGAAGAAACGACTAAACTGCTACATGCAGGATTCATTAGGGAAGTCAAGTATTCAACCTGGCTAGCCAACTTAGTGATGGTCAAGAAGGCGAATGGTAAGTGGCGAATGTGCATCGACTACACGGATCTCAACAAAGCATGCCCAAAGGATGCCTACCCCCTTCCGCACATTAACGCGTTGGTTGATGGACCAGCCGGTCATCACATGTTAAGCTTCTTGGATGCCTACTCAGGGTATAATCAGATACCCATGTACCCCCCGGACAAAGCAAAAACTGCATTCATCACCGATTCGGCCAACTTTTGTTACAGGGTAATGCCGTTCGGTTTGAGAAACGCAGGAGCGACTTACCAGCGCCTCATGGATAAGATTTTCCGTCGGCAGATTGGGACATGTTTAGAAGTATACGTGGACGATATGGTGATCAAGTCCACTTCAGTCGGCGATCACCTAAAAGACCTCGTCACGATATTTAAGGAAGTAAGGCGTCACCGCATGCGACTAAATCCGGCAAAATGCACATTTGGGGTAGCTGGCGGAAAGTTTTTGGGGTTCATGTTGTCAAAAAGAGGTATAGAGGCCAACCCCAACAAGTGTCAAGTTATTATCAACATGAAAAGCCCTCGCAACATAAAAGAGGTGCAAAGGTTGGCCGGACGCATCGCTTCCTTGGCTCGTTTCTTCCCCTGCATGGCCGAGAAGTCAAAGCCCATAATGTCCCTACTAAAAAAGGCTACCAAGTTTCAGTGGAACGAGGAAAGCGAGTCGGCTTTTCAAGACCTGAAGACAACACTAGCAACTCCACCATTGCTGACCAAACCAGACCCTCGGTTGGATATGATCGTATACATATCGGTCTCGGACAAAGCCATCAGCTATGTCTTGGTGCAAGAGAAAACAGAACAAATACCGGTATATTTCGTTAGCCGAATGCTACAAGACGCCGAGACGAGATATCAACACCTCGAGAAAACAGTGTTAGCCCTTGTACATATGGCTAGACGCCTCCGACACTACTTTCAAAGCCACAAGATACTGGTCCGAACAGACAGCCCCATTGTCAAAGTCCTACGGAAACCCGAATTGGCTGGAAGGATGGTCGCTTGGTCCATCGAATTGTCGCAATTTGATATTCATTTTGAACCCAGAGGACCCATCAAGGCGCAATGTATGGCCGATTTCATCAATGAATTCGCTCCACCAATGACCTCCGAGCCGCATTCCTGGACGCTACACGTAGATGGATCATCCAACCAACAGGGTAGCGGCGCCGACATCATCTTGGAAGGACCAGGGACAATGATAATAGAACAGTCACTGCGGTTTGGATTCAAAACCTCTAATAACCAAGCAGAATACGAGACCCTTCTCGCAGGACTCAGGTTGGCCGCCGATCTCGGCATCACTGAGCTTCAATGCTTTAGCGATTCGCAAGTGGTAACAGAGCAAGTCAACGGCACTTTCCAGATCAAAGATCCGACTTTGTTATTGTACTTTCATGCCTTCCAGAAGCTAAAAAGCCACTTCGAAAATGTCTGAGTCACACACACTCCCCGGGAACACAACGCTAGGGCCGACCAGCTAGCCAAAATAGCTAGTAGCAAGAAAACTAGCCATTTGCGTAGCATGATACAGCAGGAGCTGCTAAGCCCGAGCATAGATGAAACCGAATGCCTGCAGATTGATCAGGGAAGCCCGTGTTGGATGGATGCCATAGTAAACCACCTTCGGACCGGGGAGTTGCCCGAAGATCCCCTAGACGCGAAGAAGATGAGGACCACAGCCGCACGGTATACGTTGATCGCTGGGGAATTGTATAAGCGAGGCATTTCTTCCCCCTTGTTGAAATGCCTCACTCCCGAACAAGCAAATTATGTTCTCCGAGAAATTCATGAAGGAGTGTGCGGAACTCATTCCGGAAGCCAGACTCTCGCAACAAAAGTGATTCGGGCCGGCTACTACTGACCCACCCTGAAGACTGATTGTGCCAAGTTTGTGCAACAGTGCAAGCAGTGTCAGCAACATGGACCTCTGACGCATCAACCTCCAGAGGAGCTCCATTCTATAACCACTCCCTGGCCATTTTCTGTTTGGGGCATGGATATTCTAGGACCATTCCCACCGGGTAAGGGACAAGTGAAATTCCTTGTGGTAGCAGTAGATCATTTCACTAAGTGGATTGAAGCAGAACCGATGGCCATCACGGCCAACAATGTCCAAAAGTTCTTCTGGAAAAATGTCGTCACGCGCTTTGGAATCCCATACGCCTTGATAACAGATAATGGTTTACAATTCACTGATCGACGCTTCAACGAATTTTTGACCGAGTTAGGTGTCAAACATAAGATGACCTCGGTCGAACACCCCCAATCCAACGGGCAGGCTGAAGCAGCAAACAAAGTCATCCTAAGAGAGTTAAAGCGACGACTCGGGCAGGCCAAAGGATCCTGGCCGGACCACTTACCGAATATCCTTTGGGCATACCGGTGCACTCCACAGAGCTCAACCAAGGAGACCCCTTTCCGGCTAACCTATGGCACAGATGCAATGATTCCGGTTGAGGTGGGAGAACCTTCGCTAAGGCGAACACAATTCGATGAAGACACCAACCGAGAAGCACTCAACATTGAGATGGATTTGGTGGAAGAGGTCCGAGACCAAGCTCTTGTCAACATGGAAGCGTGCCGAACCAGGATAGCGAGGAAAATTCGAACCAAAGTGAAACCAAGGGAATTTGAGGCCGGGGACCTCGTGTGGCGAGTTACAGGAGAAGCAAGGAAGGACAAAGTTCACAACAAACTTGAACCTAATTGGGACGCCCTTTTCGCATAATGCACAGCTTGAAGAACGGAGCCTACAAGTTAGAAGAGCTCACGGGAAAGGCTATTCCCCGAACATGGAACGCAACGCATTTGAAACATTATTTCAGTTGACATTATGTAATTGTTTCGGTGTACTCTTTTCCTTTCTCAGGTTTTGTCCTCTTATAAAAATGTGAAAGAGGTTTTTTCTGGGAGAGGTTTTTAACGAGGCACCATATCAATGAAACAAGCCCCTTATATCTCAGGCATCGTTGTTCAATTTAAACGCAAGTCTTAATAATCCCTCCCGAGCACCCACTACTCGGCCAAGGTTGAAAGTAATCCTTCCCGAGTAAAAACTACTCGGCCAAGGCTGAACTTCATAATCCCTCCCGAGTACCTACTACTCGGCCAAGGTTGAAAATAATCCCTCCCGAGTACCTACTACTCGGCCAAGGTTGAAAATGATCCCTCCCGAGTACCTACTACTCGACCAAGGTTGAAAATGATCCCTCCCGAGTACCTACTGCTCGGCTAAGGTTGAAAACAATCCCTCCCGAGTACCTACTACTCGGCCAAGGTTGAAAATAATCCCTCCCGAGTACTTACTGCTCGGCTAAGGTTGAAAATGATCCCTCCCGAGTACCTACTACTCGGCCAAGGTTGAAAATAATCCCTCCCGAGTACCAACTACTCGGCCAAGGTTGAACTTCACAATCTCTCGAGACACTTTCTCGGCCAAAGTAATTATCAGACCCTTTACCGACTAACCCTCAACCAAGAAGACCACGTGCCTTGCCCAACGCATTCCCGAGTACCTCTCTCGGCCAAAACAGGAAAATCGCCTAAGCGATCCTAGCACATACGAAACAAGAAAAGCTGCATACAAAGGCGCACAACAGAAAATAAAGCAGAACCCGAATAGGGGGAAAAACAGTTCATTAGGACTCTAAGGTCAAAGCGGCACTATTGGCCGAAGGGTACAGGCAAGAATGGCTCTAACGGCCCAAAAGAAATCAAAAGCAAAAAACAATAGTATACCCTAAGTCTTTACATCTTAAACAAAACAGATGTATAATCAAAAAACAAAATACCAACACCCTTCAATCCGCGTGGGTGGTCTCTTCAGTCTCCTCATCTTCATTCACAGTCGTCCCCGGATCCTCCATGGGTGCTGACCGAGGTGGCGCCACGTCATCCAGCTCCATATCATCCGACGCATTAGCAAAATCCATAAACTCCCCCTGAAAGAAGTCCTTACTAAGCTCGAAAGAGAAGTCCGGGGGGAAAGTGCCGAAATGATTGGCTTTCCGAACGGCGTGCCAAAACCCTTCCTCGTGCTCCTTCACGATTTTGCCTTCACATTCAGCCCGGAAAGTCGCCATGGCAGCATCGCCTTCGGCCTTCGCCCGTTCCGCTTCAGCCTGGAATTCCTTCACCTCCTCGACCCGCATCCGCTCGGCATCTTCCGCCGCCAGAACTCGGCCTTCCATCCCTTCATAGACCTCCTTCCATCGGGCCACCTCGGCCTCCAACGCCGCTTTCTCACCAGATAAAGCCTCTTGCGCCGAAAGGGATTGTTGCAAAGCCGACTTAGTATCTTCCAGGCTCTTTTGGAGATTATGCAAGTCCCCCATCGATTCTAAGGCCATCTTCCGAAATATGGCGGTGGCCCTCATGTGCAACTCGCATGCCATCGCCCACTGAGCCGAAGGAGTGGCCGCATCAAGCATAATATGCCCTTGGGCTGATAGCAGATCAGAAGACATCATTCGGGCCGGCCTGATCTCCTCCGATAAGAAGTCCTTAGCGACGATGGCCGAAGGTACGACCAAATCTGTGGAAGGACCCTCAACCCTTCGTTGCTTAGGCCGAGAGGCTTCCGTCCCCGCGGCATCGGTCTTCCTTTTCCCCTTGTCTTTTCTCTTTCTGCCCCTGGAATCGGGAAGGGCAATAACTGGAGGCGTGGGCCGAGGAGCATCCGCGGCTTGAGGCTGCCGATCAATGGCAACGCTACGATAATCTTCGGCAGAGGTCCCAGCCGGGGCTTTGCTCCTCATCAATTGCCGGTACGACAGTCCCAATCCTTGTTGCGCCATCCAACCTGCAAAAATCAAACAAGTCACACAACAACTCAACAAGCACAATCAATACGAAGTAACAAAACATACCCTCTAAATCAAAACGAGGTCGAGACGACTTCGGCAGCAGTACCAGAAACCGAGAAGGGATGCATTTTGGCAATCCTCTGAGAACGTCTAAAGCCGACAACTTGGCGTCGGTCATCATGTCCTCGGGAAAGTCATCGTATTTCCGAGGCTGCCGGGTCCAATAAAAAGGAAAAAGGGGTTTCTGCTCGGCATTATAAAAATAATTCCGTCCAGCAACAGGATCTATGATTACTTTCACAAACCCCGATTTAAAACCCTTGAAGGACGACGTGAAAGGCGTCAATAGCGGTCGGTCGACTTCCGAATCAACGAGAGCCACTTCACAGTCTTATTAGACGGACGAGTACAGAAAAAATGTAAAAATAATCCTACGGTCGGCTCTATATAATGGTATTTACAAAGTACCCTAAATGCTTGCATATAAGCCCACGCGTTTGGGTGCAACTGCGTCGGCGCCACGTTCAACACACGCAGAACCCCCATCTGAAAATCGTCAAACGGGAGCGACATGCCGAGTTCTCGAAAGAAACACTCGTACATGTAGAAGAAGTCTCCCTGACCCTCCTACTTTGCAAGAAAAACCAGGTCTAGCCCCCCAGGGCCTTCGGCCCGGCACCGACGCAACATGATAGGATACGGCTCCCAACCATCCCATCAGCCCAACGTGCATAGACTAAGGAGCCGTATCACGGCAGCCCTCTCATAAAAACGAGAGAAATATGCCGCCACCTCCCCATCAACCCACTCGTACCCCGGAATTTCGCAGGGGGGTACTTTTGCCTGTAATCCCCGGGGCTCATCTCAGCATCGGGTAAATCCGAACCGGACAAATCACCACCAGACTCTCCATTACCGTCGGATGGTGACTCCCTAAGACCCTCGACTACTTCCACCTCAGTATTGAAGGCCAGCATCTCGGCCTCGGCATCTTGTGCCGAAACCCTAACACTGGCCGAAGACCCTGATGACAATGTCACACCTTCGGATGCCATCGCATCAACAAAAACTCAACGAAAAGCTTAAAGTATCCTACCTTAGCAACTATTCGGCTCAGAGAGATACGGGTGTCGGGGCAGTGTTTGCTATCAACAAGGCACGAGTCAAGTTATCATCTACATACCTTATTTATAGGAAAGGGCCACGGCAACCCAAAAGCCCCTCATCAATGCTTCTGAAATGAAAGGACACAACCCCAGGGCACACATCCCAAAGCCGGCTATAGCATGCAACGGTCATTATCAAGTCACACCTCCTGAAAACCACGTCACTCCTACACCCTGAACCCTAAAACCACCAAAACGTTTCAGCACCCAAAACCCCTTCGTCTTTCATTCCTTGGGCTTGGGGGGGTAGTGTACTAGGAGGCACCTTTTCGGCCAAACAATAAGCCGATAGGGGTGCCCGAACCGATGAAGACGCTGTCCACAGGTAGGTACCCCTTCGGTTAGATAGTAGGCCGAAAGGGGCACCCGAACCGATGTAACACACTACTACACCCCCTCGGCCTTAGGATAGGCCGAACACCTCCTCGGCCTTAGGGTAGGCCGAACACCCTCTCGGCCTTGTA